GAGACAGACTAGGAGGGCTAGGCAGTAGGAAAATACTGTAGTTCAGAGACTGTGAGACAGACTAGGAGGGCTAGGCAGTAGGGAAAATACTGTAGTTCAGAGACTGTGAGACAGACTAGGAGGGCTAGGCAGTAGGGAAAATACTGTAGTTCAGAGACTGTGAGACAGACTAGGAGGGCTAGGCAGTAGGGAAAATACTGTAGTTCAGAGACTGTGAGACAGACTAGGAGGAGCTAGGCAGTAGGGAAAATACTGTAGTTCAGGACTGTGTGAGACAGACTAGGAGGGCTAGGCAGTAGGGAAAATACTGTAGTTCAGAGACTGTGAGACAGACTAGGAGGAGGCTAGTGTAGGAAAAATACTGTAGTTCAGAGACTGTGAGACAGACTAGGGAGGAGCTAGGCAGTAGGGAAAATACTGTAGTTCAGAGACTGTGAGACAGAGACTAGGAGGAGGCTAGGCAGTAGGGAAAATACTGTAGTTCAGGGACTGTGAGACAGACTAGGAGGGCTAGGCAGTAGGAAAATACTGTAGTTCAGAGACTGTGAGACAGACTAGGAGGGCTAGGCAGTAGGGAAAATACTGTAGTTCAGAGACTGTGAGACAGACTAGGAGGGCTAGGCAGTAGGGAAAAACACTGTAGTTCAGAGACTGTGAGACAGACTAGGAGGGCTAGGCAGTAGGGGAAAAAATACTGTAGTTCAGAGACTGTGAGACAGACTAGGAGGGCTAGGCAGTAGGGAAAATACTGTAGTTCAGAGACTGTGAGACAGACTAGGAGGGCTAGGCAGTAGGAAAATACTGTAGTTCAGGGACTGTGAGACAGACTAGGAGGGCTAGGCAGTAGGGAAAATACTGTAGTTCAGGGACTGTGAGACAGACTAGGAGGGCTAGGCAGTAGGGAAAATACTGTAGTTCAGAGACTGTGAGACAGACTAGGAGGGCTAGGCAGTAGGAAAATAATACTGGTTCAGAGACTGTGAGACAGACTAGGAGGGCTAGGGCAGTAGGAAAAATACTGTAGTTCAGAGACTGTGAGACAGACTAGGAGGGCTAGGCAGTAGGAAAATACTGTAGTTCAGAGACTGTGAGACAGACTAGGAGGAGCTAGACAGTAGGGAAAATACTGTGGTTCAGGGACTGTGAGACAGACTAGGAGGAGCTAGGCAGTAGGAGACTGTAGTTCAGAGACTGTGAGACAGACTAGGAGGGCTAGGCAGTAGGAAAAATACTGTAGTTCAGAGACTGTGAGACAGACTAGGAGGGCTAGGCAGTAGGGACAAAATACTGTAGTTCAGAGACTGTGAGACAGACTAGGAGGGCTAGGCAGTAGGGAAAATACTGTAGTTCAGAGACTGTGAGACAGACTAGGAGGGCTAGGCAGTAGGGAAAAATACTGTGTTCAGAGTTCAGAGACTGTGAGACAGACTAGGAGGAGCTAGGCAGTAGGAAAATACTGTAGTTCAGAGACTGTGAGACAGACTAGGAGGGCTAGGCAGTAGGGAAAATACTGTAGTTCAGAGACTGTGAGACAGACTAGGAGGGCTAGGCAGTAGGGAAAATACTGTAGTTCAGGGACTGTGAGACAGACTAGGAGGGCTAGGCAGTAGGGAAAATACTGTAGTTCAGAGACTGTGAGACAGACTAGGAGGGCTAGGCAGTAGGAAAAAAAATACTGTAGTTCAGAGACTGTGAGACAGACTAGGAGGGCTAGGCAGTAAGGAAAATACTGTAGTTCAGAGACTGTGAGACAGACTAGGAGGGCTAGGCAGTAGGGAAAATACTGTAGTTCAGAGACTGTGAGACAGACTAGGAGGGCTAGGCAGTAGGGAAAATACTGTAGTTCAGAGACTGTGAGACAGACTAGGAGGGCTAGGCAGTAGGGAAAATACTGTAGTTCAGAGACTGTGAGACAGACTAGGAGGGCTAGGCAGTAGGAAAATACTGTAGTTCAGAGACTGTGAGACAGACTAGGAGGGCTAGGCAGTAGGGAAAATACTGTAGTTCAGAGACTGTGAGACAGACTAGGAGGCTAGGCAGTAGGGAAAATACTGTAGTTCAGAGACTGTGAGACAGACTAGGAGGGCTAGGCAGTAGGGAAAATACTGTAGTTCAGAGACTGTGAGACAGACTAGGAGGGCTAGGCAGTAGGGAAAATACTGTAGTTCAGAGACTGTGAGACAGACTAGGAGGGCTAGGCAGTAGGGAAAATACTGTAGTTCAGAGACTGTGAGACAGACTAGGAGGGCTAGGCAGTAGGAAAATACTGTAGTTCAGAGACTGTGAGACAGACTAGGAGGGCTAGGCAGTAGGGAAAATACTGTAGTTCAGAGACTGTGAGACAGACTAGGAGGGCTAGGCAGTAGGGAAAAATACTGTAGTTCAGAGACTGTGAGACAGACTAGGAGGGCTAGGCAGTAGGAAAATACTGTAGTTCAGAGACTGTGAGACAGACTAGGAGGGCTAGGCAGTAGGGAAAATACTGTAGTTCAGAGACTGTGAGACAGACTAGGAGGGCTAGGAAAATACAGTAGGAGAAAATACTGTAGTTCAGAGACTGTGAGACAGACTAGGAGGGCTAGGCAGTAGGGAAAATACTGTAGTTCAGAGACTGTGAGACAGACTAGGAGGGCTAGGCAGTAGGGAAAATACTGTAGTTCAGAGACTGTGAGACAGACTAGGAGGGCTAGGCAGTAAGGAAAATACTGTAGTTCAGAGACTGTGAGACAGACTAGGAGGGCTAGGCAGTAGGGAAAATACTGTAGTTCAGAGACTGTGAGACAGACTAGGAGGGCTAGGCAGTAGGAAAATACTGTAGTTCAGAGACTGTGAGACAGACTGCCTATATATGTGTCTGCAGACAGTGGCCAATCTGTGGCAGTAAACTCACTGTTTATTCTGAGTGTGTATGAAGGGGAGTGATATGTTTAGTCTACAGTCTATAGATATAAACTTTATCTTATTCAACAGTAAAAGATGTTTTATTTCCTGAAGTTATGGAGACTTGATAAGATGAAGTTGCTGGACTAGATATGGAAAACTGAATTCTACACAGAGAGATATATTTTCAGGAAACCACTCCTTAATCTCAAATGTCTACAAGTGTTTTATGCCTGTGTTATGTTTGTTGTTAATAAGTGTCCTAGTTCAGTATTTTTTCCAGGAATCTGACAGCGGTCTGTTAGTATTTAAAACACTTACTGTTCGTATTTTAGTCACACTCAATTAAATTCCATTCAGTACTCTAAATGTACACTCAAGGTTTTCCAGTACTCTTACTGCAAGAATGGGTTCCTAAGATCGAATGTAGATTTTAAGGAAGGTCAAGTGGACCACACCGGACATGACCAGTGAAATGTTAGATGATTGACAAGGATGCAGGGAAACGTTCCAAGAAAGGACCAGGATGCAGAAATTTTTGGAGATTGATTATTGTTTCATTCATTAATAGGAAGGGTGTGATGATTGAAATATTGAAATCAGATGACAGTCTTGGTTGAACTAAATCAGATCAACGGTATTGTCTTAGTATTAAGTCTTGTACTTTCTACACCCCTATACTCAAGTAAGTATATTGTTTCACAGTCAAGTCATTTATAGCATTTTAGTATTATTGTTGCTGGCCATTTGTTCCTTGAGTCACTCATTATATTTGAGTGAAGAGTTTGGGTTCAGATATGTTGCTCAATGGCCATTTGAGGTAGTAATTAACAGCTGGAAAGTGTGCTTGAAGTGTCTGCTTGATATACCTGTCCAGTGGCAGGTGTGCTTGATATACCTGTAGTGTGTCACATATGCTTGATATACCTGTCCAGTGGCAGGTGTGCTTGATATACCTATAGTGTGTCATGTATGCTTGATATGCCTTAGTGATATATACCTGTCCAGTGGCCTTGATATACCAGTGGTCATACACCTTCCAGTATGCTTGATATACCTGTAGTGTGTCATATACCTGTATATGCTTGATATACCTGTCCAGTGGCAGGTATGCTTGATATACCTGTAGTGTGTCATGCTTGATATACATATATGCTGCTTGATATACCTGTAGTGTGTCACATATGTGTGATATACCTGTCCAGTGTCACATATGCTTGATATACCTGTCCAGTGGCAGGTGTCCAGTGGCAGGTATGCTTGATATACCTGTAGTGTGTCACATATGCTTGATATACCTGTCCAGTCCAGTGGCAGGTGTGCTTGATAAACCTATAGTGTGTCATGTATGCTTAATATAACTGTATTGTGTCATGTATGCTTGATATACCTATAGTGTGTCATGTGTGCTTGATATATTTGTAGTGTGTCAGGTTTGCTTGATATACCTGTAGTAATAGTCATGTATGCTTGATATACCTGTCCAGTGTCATGTATGCTGATATACCTGTCCAGTGGCAGGTGTGCTTGATGATATACCTGTGTGGCAGGTGCTTGATATGTCATGTATGCTTGATATACCTGTAGTGTGTCACATATGCTTGATATACCTGTCCAGTGGCAGGTGTGCTTGATAAACCTGTAGTGTGTCACATTTGCTTGATATACCTGTCCCATGGCAGGTGTGCTCGATATACCTGTAGTGTGTCATGTATACTTGATATACCAGTCCAGTTTCAGGTGTGCTTGATATACCTGTCCTGTGGCAAGTGTGCTTGATATACCTGTCCAGTATCAGATGTGCTTGATATACCCGTCCAGTGGCAGGTGTGCTTGATATAACTGTCCAGTATCAGATGTGCTTGATATATATACCTGTCCAGTATCAGATGTGCTTGATATACCTGTCCAGTTTCAGGTGTGCTTGATATACCTGTAGTGTGTCACATATGCTTGATACACCTGTCCAGTGGCAGGTGTGCTTGATATACCTGTAGCGTGTCACATATGCTTGATATACCCGTCCAGTGGCAGGTGTGCTTAATAGAGTGCCCTTCAGCATTAGAGTTTCAACTCTATGATTTAGACCATGATTAGTAAAAAAGCAATTTTGGTTTCAGGAGCACGATATCTCAGCAAATCTCGTCACCTCAGACGGATGCATTTTGAAGATACAAAACACCTGTTTGATTGTCTCATGAAGATCACAAGACGGGCCAATCATGTCCTGCACTAGTGCCCTGAAAATTGTCATTTTGGCCTTGGTTTTCATTCATGTCATATGTATAGAAGAGCCGACCAAAAGCAATGAGTCCCTGACCAATCACAATGAGTCCCACACCAACGAAAGCGGTGAACATACTGACGGCCATGAGGAGCATCATGGGATTGAAGTGGCAAGTCTGCACTTTCACAATGTCCGAGCTCCACTTCTGTTCACCATCGTCATCCTGTTGGCAGGACTCAGCAAAGTGGGTAAGTTGTCCCCCAGCATCTGATCTGAAATTATACAACAAAAGATCATCATCATCATCATCATCATCATCATCATCATCATCATCATAGGGATTTATCTAGGATTGTTATCTATGTGTCCTTTGTAGCCAAATGAGGAAAAGAATGTTATTTTGTTCAAAATTGGGATTTTTTAAAAGTTTTTGAAGACAATTTTGACATTGTAGTTTGAGACTGCATTCAGTGTAATACCATCTTATAATGATTCTTTATATTTATAACAAGCTTTTAGTGATACATTCAATTTCAAATTTGGTTTTTTTTAGAAATCTTTGTAAACTTTCCATGCACCTCTCTGTAAACTTTCCATGCACCTTTCTGTCCAACACTTGAATTGTATGAAAGACAATCCAGCCCAGTGGGTGGTCAGACTAACGCATAGTCTCTGAATATATATATATTTAGCACTGCAGATAAGGCTTGGCAGTAGGGAAAATAATGTGGTTCAGGGACTCAGTGAGACAGACTAAGTGGGTGGTGTAAGTTGCCAAGTAAGGCTGTTGGTCCATGTTCAAATCTCTACATGGTACAATATGTGATATATGTGGTCCAGTATTTGAAGGACCCCAAACAATTGAAGGCTTCAGTCCTAGCACACACTGAAACATGTGACGTCTCCCAAGGCCAAAGACTTTGTATTAGAGTGCCTTCCATAAATGGGTACCCAGTGGTATGAAATGGTAATGTGATGTAAACCTTCTAGCACCTCATAGGCATTCGGATTGTATACTCCCCATGAAGCTGAGAATGATTATTGAATCAATCTGAGACATTAATCAGGGTAGTGCTTTGAACACTCTTATGAAATCAAGCAACTTTATGCATATGCTTATTATACATATTGTTAACTTTAAAATATCATCAGCCATTTCTGCCTTGTGCATATTTTCATCCAACTTACACTTTCAATGTTCAGCCTGGTCGTCTGTTTAACGTTTTGTCAGTCTTATTTGAATATGGACAATTCCAATTTTCCATTTTTAATAATGTGCAAATAATCAATGTGTGTATGTTTCAGGGTTCCATTATGCAGACTTCTTATCATCAAAACTGCCTGAGTCTTGGTAAGACGGGATTTATTATAAAGAATTCAACATATTCATGTTAAAATACTTACCGTATATGACCGTCTATAAGACGACCCCATGGATAAGACGACCCCCAAACTTGACCCTTAAAATCAGTGTCAAAATGGTATGTTTCGTGCACAGCTGATTGCTATTTCCGGCTCAGATACACACGGTAATCTTAATCCCTGCAAATAATACAATGCCCAGCAAAAACAACTTATAACTTAAAAGGTAAATAATCTTGTCAAGTGATGTTTAATTGCAAATTTGACGTCTCTACTGACAAAGTCGTCTTCTGTTGTTTGTTCACGCGAAGTGATACGATGTTGTTTTCTTACCCCTGGAAAAAAGTTTGACGAAAGTGTAACCCATGGATAAGACGACCCCCTTCTACAGACTGCTTTTTGGGTCCTCAAAATTCGGCTTATAGACGGTCATATACGGTAGTAATGCTTAGATGCAGACTAGGGCTGGCTACCGATATATTGATCATAGAGATCGATAATCGTTAACTAAATATCGATCAATTATCAAAAAGATATTGGAGACATAACTTTGATCAAAAATGCCAAAAAATGTCTGAAAGAAATTAATATATTTCACATCATTGGCGAGTGGTGACATGTTTTTACATGGATTATTAAAAAACAGCCTCCTGAACATAATTTAAAAGTGAAACCGTGAATAAAGTCCTAAATTTGTATAATATGTAAGAAAATTAAAACTTTAAATTTAATATATGATATTATCAATAACACAATTTTCATACTGTTTTGTTGCAGTCTTCTGATCCTGATTGGAACTGTGATGGGTGCCATTCTTACGTAAGTTGAATACTATTACAGCATTTATTTGTAATTAGGTCATTTACCTAACACAACCTGAATAGAGGGAAAGATTTTAACACCAAATTTCAACAGTGTACTACCCCCCTAAAAATAGAGGTAGCATTGAAATCAGGTAATATGATACACCCGGCCTTACGACCCATGCTGCTCATCTTGACCATGTTGAACACCAGTGCTTGTCACCCTCCATTAGACCAGGGGCGGTGGGGTAGCCTAGTGGTTAAAGCGTTGGCTCGTCACGCCGAAGACCCGGGTTCGAATCCCCACGTGGGTACAATGTGTTAAGCCCATTTCTGGTGTCCCCCGCCATGATGTTGCTGGAATATTGCTAAAAGCGACGTAAAACCAAACTCAGTCAGTCAGTCCATTAGACCATGTGGCCAATACTCAAGTCAAAGTCAAAGATGTTTATTGTACAAAAGGCCTCCGGCCCATATACATTGGAGTTATACATATACATTATACATATGGTGCAATAAGTAGTAATTAGTGATCTAAACAGCAAATCATGATACAGGCAGTAAGTTATGTACAAGTAGTGAAATACGATGGACCTACAACACTTTTTATCAGATTGTTACGTTTAATAAGAGCATAATTGATATAGTACGACAGATTTATTATTACATGCTGGTCAGTTGATGAAAGAAGTAGTTTAAATGCTAATGTAGGTGGCTTACATAGATAATATTCAGCTATATATTTCGTACGCAAATCTTTATACAAAGGACATACAAGTAAAAAATGGATTTCATTTTACACATCTATATTACACAGTGGGCACATTCTCTTGCATCATTCAATATAACAACGTCTTCCTTCGTTTGCCATTATGGTGATCAAACTTAACCTAAAACGTATAAATGGATATCTTAATTTCTTTGATGTTAAACACGACAGATATTTCTCCGGCTGGAGTAGTGATTTGTATATTCTATAAGAGTCGTACCGTGAACTATTATCTATTACTGAATACCATTCTTGATTAAACATATTAAGACTTCTTTCTCGAAACTGAGTTAAAAACAAACTTGCATCACCAACTGACTGACTTAACCATACAAAACCATAACCATGTGCAAACAGAAGATTTCTTACATAAGATGCCCACGTCACTTTACCAATGTTGTCCAAATGAACAAGCATGTTATAAGCCTTTTTGGGTAATCTATGTTCTTGCATACACAATATCTTAAACCAAAATATTATACTCAAACAGTTGGTCTATGAACATGTGGACACTGTTTCAACAGTGGGGTTAACCTTGCTTGTTTTTAATAACCTGATACATTCTGTGGCTAGTTCCATATCAGCAAGAATGTCTGGAGGGTGGGAGGTGTCATACTAATTACTTCAAAACACTTTAACTGCTGCTGAAAGATCCTTAAAGATAGGTACTCTTCTAGCATACCATTTGGCCTAAGACTATGTAGAGAAGGTTGGCCAACATCCCAAATCAGCATTCTAGAATCATATGCTACTCCAAAAAGTGAAAGAACACCCAGTCATTCATAGTTCTGTCATTCCCTGAGAAATAACTAGCAATGTAAAAGAACTTGGGACCTTAACTTATTCTGAATAATATATTATGCAGGGGCACCTGTTACCAGTCTGTTACAGGAGTATATCATTAAAAAGCAAAATGACAAGCTGTGTGTGTTTGGAGGTGACATTTATTCCATATAGTACTCAATCATTCAGACAATATCCATGTAATGAGGTGTAACATAATATAACATACATGACAATCTAAACCAGGGTTGCAATGAATACACTATGTGGCGAATATGATACGTATCATGAATATTGGGTAACGAATACGAATAATTATTCACGAATACAATATTGTAGTTAAGTGATTGATGTACGATAATGGAATGCCCATGTTGACAGTTTTGATTTGGCACAGCAATAACCAGTCATCTCATGACACTCAAATTTGGTATGTAATAGTTATAATTGACAGTACCATGTGTGGCCTTGGCAAACTAACATGACTTGGGCTACTGCAAGGCTAGTACATATTCCATTACTGCATATCTCACTTTCAAAAAGTACACAAGGGTTCAAGTAAATAATGCTCCATTAAAAAAACGTAAATATTCGTTAATATTCGGTTCTGGTGGCCACGAATAACGAATTGATTTCATGAAGGGCTACGGTTCTATTCACCGAAGATGCGAGTGAATCGTTACAGCCTTAATCTAAACATTCAAAGATATAACAGCACCTTAATTCTGACACATTTATCTGAACGTGCAATACATACGTCACTAGTTCATGATAAATAACTCATAGTACATGTATATACAATTTACAGACCCTAATACTTATATAACATGTCACTTATCGTAATTGAATATTTTAGTTAATATATAGTTAAAAGAATACTGGTAACGTATAGGATATGACATTATAAATATGTACTGTATATTACCGTAGATAAGCTGATCTCATAGATAAGCTGACCCACTAACTTGACCCTTAAAATCAGTATCAAAATGGTGTGTTTCGTATAGGTGTGGGCGATAATACCGGTTAACCGGTATATTGCAATTCGAACTTCACAATACGATTTTATACAATTATTGACTTCTATTGAGGTTGATCCAATGATTTATTGACCTTGGACATGTGATATTCACTGAGGCGAAGCCGAAGGTGAATATCTCATGTCCAAGGTCGATAAATCATTGGATCAACCGAACTGAAGTCAATAATTGTTTTATTATATGACAATAGTACTGAATACATTGAATACACAGTCTTGAAGCTCTGTGGTGTCGTTCCGTCTGCCATTTTGATACAGATGGGATGTAACTCTAAACCAACACAGTCACAGGGACGAAGCGATGCCTATTGCTTCCTTATCGAGCATGACGCACGCAGTGCGGAGTTCACAGCTGGAATATCCCAAATCTATTTTTAGCCACGGGAGGTGCTTGGATTGTTATATCAACCTCTCGCGACGTGGCGAGGTTGACATCGCTTGCGTCAACGCTGTCATGTGACCAGGTGGGCCAATCAGAAGGTGGAAAATCTACCCGTCATATAATAAATTGCGGTACACTTTTCATGAACCGGTTCACCCGGTATGATCAGTAAGTTTCGAGATGTAGTTAAAACTACTAATAACATTTGTATTTCCTTTATAATATTATACATTAATAGTTTTGAGAATGTTTATTGGTCACATAATTGTGCTAGATAAGAAAAATAGATTGGTACCGGCACTCGTTGTAAGGATAAACAAACCAAAATGATGGACACTGCTGCCGACGCTTTTTCTTAGGTTCTAAACTTTAGAGGGAAGTCTTTAATATGGAAACATATTCAATTGATCTCTTGTACAATTACATCTGAGTCCTGACAGTGGCCAGTGGCATTGTTTCGAAAGAAAGGAAACAGCTACCTAAACCATGTGTTACACTTTCACAATATATTGCAATACGAAAATTTTGGCAGTACCCAACCCTAGTTTCGTATTTTACGTTCATAGAGCAAAACCTGGGATTAAAATTACACAATGCTAGAATATATTTTTCTTGGTAAAATTATAGTTTTAGATATTATTTTTTACTGATCACAGCATCAAACTTCATCCTGTTATATTATTGAGTATGTTGTTACTAGATCACCGGTAGATCACCGGGAAATGTGTGCACAGCCGATTGCTATTTCCGGTTCTGATACAAGATAAGAAAAGGAAATAATCTTGTCAAGTGATGTTTAATTGCAAATTTGACGTCTTCACTGACAAAGTCGTTTTCTCTTGTTCATTCACAAGAAATGAAACTATGTCACCAGAAAAAAATGTTTGACCCGTTGATAAGCCAACCCGTTCTACAGGCTGCTTTCTTCTTAAAACTTCAGCTTATCTACAGTAATATACGGTGATGTACACTATCTATTATCATTAGAAGTAGGAAAAATACATATAAACAGCATAGTTTGGTTGCAGGTGAACATATAATAGATGCATGATTTGTATAAATGTTCATAGATGTGACATCTGAATCCTGTGTATATTACACATTACATTCAGAAAGAAGTGATGGATAAGTGATTTCTACACACTCTGTCGGGTGAGGTGAAAAGGGATTTTACGTCGTACTTAAGAATATTCCGCTCATATGACGATATGCATGCGTGTGTACGTGTGGCTGCTTGTACGAGCCCAGGCTGAAGCTGGTTTATAGTGCTAGCTCACTTAGATACCATGCCCCAGTTAAGCATGAATACCCTACTCAGACACATTATACGGTCTCCGAGCTGACCAATCCTTGTTGTACCCATTAATACCCGAGTGCCAGGCTGGGACCAACAAGTACCATGTTTTGGTATGACGTGGTCGGGGATCGAACCTGCGACCTTCGACTCTCCGGGGGACCCTCTAACCACTACACCACGGTGGTGGTTCACACTGTGTGGGTCAGTCTGGGATGTGACTATAAACCCACAGGCGGTCAGGATTATCGTGTTCCTATAAAATGTAAATACAACATATGACCATCTTTCCTGAATGTATACATTGTGTGCATCATGGCGACAGTTACTTTATAGAAAAACAACTTCTACTGGGGGTTAAAGCATTCACTCGTCATGCCAAAGACCAGGGTTCATTTCCACACATGGGTACAATATGTTAATGCCCATTTCTGGTGTTCCCCTTTGTGATATCACTCACTCACTCACTCACTCACTCACTCACTCACTCACTCACTCACTCACCAGCGTAAATTTCGCATACTGCATACTGATAAAATTGAGGGTATATCGGCTATTTCACGGAAAGATAATTATCAACAATACTTCACATTATTTATGGCATATTTAATGGATAAGTTAAAATTCTATGTGGGGAATCGAACCCGGGCCTTCGGCATGACGAGCAAACGCTTTAACCACTAGGCTACCCCACTGCCCTGCATCCTTTAAAAGTATGCAAATGGTATGCAAGAAAGTTGCAATTTAATGCATTTTTATGTTAATCAACTAGGAGTGAGTGAGTATGGTTTTACGCCTCTTTTAGCAATATTCCAGCAATATTTAGGTGGGGGATACCAGAAATTGGCTTCACACATTATACCCATAAGGGGAATCGAACTCAGGTCTTTGTCATGACAAGTGACTGCTTTAACCACTAGGCTACCTTACCACCCATTTTTCAGCTATGAAGCCGAGGTGTTGTATTGAAGAAGCCAGATGGTTTGAGACAGGAACGGAAAATCCTGTCCACCCTTTATAGTTTAATAAAAAAGCGTTAACAACTTATAATACTAACCATCAAAAGTTTACTCACTAGTGTAAATATAGCCACTTACTTCAGACCGCCTCCGTGGTGTAGTGGTTAGAGCGTTCGCCCGGAGAGCGGAAGGTCGCGGGTTCGATCCCAGACCGCGTCATACCAAAAGACGTTAAAATATGGTACTCGTTGGTCCCTTCCAGGCGCTCGGCATTAATGGGTACAACAAGGACTGGTCGCCTCGGAGTCAGTATAATGTGTCTGAGTGGGGTATTCATGCTTCACTGCGGCATGGTATCTCAGTGGGCTAGCACTATAAAACCAGCTTAAGTCTGGGCTAGTACAAGCAGCCGCACATACACATACACACGCATGCATGTCGTCACATGAGCGAAATATTCTCAAGCATGACGTAAAAACCCAATTTCACCTCACCTCACTTACTTCAGTCAACTATTCTAAACTAAATTTTGCAAAATATTCCATACTGTTTAAAGGTACTGTTTACACATGAACTAATGTATTGTAAAACAACTTCATAACATTGAAAATATTATTGTCATGAATTCAATAAATGATGAAACTCAGTGAAAATTTGGCACCTTCTTAACAAAACTTTCAACCAAAACGCAGCTGTTCACATGCACTGTATTTGTACAAGCTTTACACCAGTTTGATTCATGAACCTCGAGCAATTCATCTGCATGAGGGTTGCTGTTGGTTCCCCCAAGTTAGTGGAGACATTCATCTTTGATGTAATTATATACATGTACATGTATATACAGTCAGTTTGAGTCAGAAACGGACCGATGAATTGCAAATTTTATCATTGTACAAAATTGCCACATAAATATAAATAGTACACATGTTTATCATTTACTAATACCCAACAGCTTTCTGATATTTGAAAAATTTCCCGGACTCCACCAAAAACATTGTTTAAGAAACTATCATCATTGAAAACGCAAAAGTTGTGATCTGTCGCGCTGGGGTGAAACATATATTTATGTGGCAATTTTGTACAGTGATAAAACTGGCCAATAAAAACATAAGAATTTTATTTTTTGAGTGGGGAAAATTAATTTTTATTTTTTTTCGTATTCTTGACAAAATACGACAGGCGGATTCGTAAAACAAGAAATAAAATTGGTCTGGCCTAATGTTTGTTTAAAAATATAGATTTTATAGAAAATGTCAAGATCTTCATGAGTCCATGTATACTGTAAATCTGTAAAGTTTAGTGTCTAGGAAAGAACTGCGAAAACTCTTACACACATGGAGTAGAATCATGACTCAGCTATTTTTGTGCAGATCAGCAACGGATAAAAAAGTAAGGAGACATTTATTTTATTCACTTGAACACTTCAGCAAACAGGTAGTGCATGTTTTAGATAAATACTACCTCACATGTTTTGTTTCCTTAACTACACTCGGTCACTCCATGTCAATAGTCTCATGACGTGAGTTCACCGAGCTGCCATGTCTTGTCAAGATGCTTACATAACACAACGCAGTCCACAAACACCATCCAGTCTGTAGTGCTTGATAAACATTCTACTCCAAACTTCCACTGCCAACATACATCTAAAATTTAAAATTTAAAAAAAATATATTTAAATTTAAATTTAAATTTAGATTACTCTGAGTCAGCATTTCATGATGTAGCTTTTTACTGATCTAAAGTATCAAGGGTGAGTGAGTGAGTGAGTTTAGTTTTATGCCGTTTTCATAAATATTCTGGCAGTATCATGTTGGGGGACACCAGAAATGGGCTTCACACATTGTACCCATGTGGGGAATCGAACCCGGGTCTTCGGTGTGGCGAACTAACTTTAACGACTACACTACCCAACTACCCAAAAGTAACAAGGGTTCACACAGATTCGTTTGAAAAGTATTTCAATTTAACAATGTCTGAATATATAGTAAAGTGCTTGATTCTGCCATTTTGTCGTCATTGTGCTGGAAAGGTGCTGAAATTGTTTTTACTTGTCTTGAAAAATGTTGGAATGTTAATGAAATGTCTAACTATAACGAAATCCAGAAAACTATTTATAGTCGTGTTTTAATTAATTGTTTACCTCTTGTCGCTCACAACACACAAAAAACCCACCTGTTTTCTGTTCTGACTTACCTGCAGTAGTGTCTGTGTGCGCATTGTTTTATTGAATGTTTAATTATCGCTGTCCTGACTGGCACTTGGATCTCAATGGAATAAGAAAGAGGTTATGAATGTCAGATTGACCTGTGAATAAAGCAGAGTGTTGTGTTTGCTTCAGATTGTGTGTAAATAAAGGGACTGTGACTTTCTAATGGAAGTCCTTCTATTTGTGTGAGGACCTCACTGAGTTCTGTATACTGTAAATCTGTAAAGGTTAGTGTCTAGGAAAGAACTGTGAGAACTCTTACACGTCAACCTGTGAAGATCCAGGTTAGAATTGATCTTCAGCAACCCATGCTTGCCGTAAGAGGCGACTAACAGGATCAGATGGTCCGGCTCGCTGAATTGGCTGACTCATGTCATTGTATTCCAGTTGAGTAGATCGATACTCATGCTGTTGATCACAGGATAGTCTGGTCCAGACTCGATTATTTATAGACTGCTGCCGTATTGCTGGAATATTGTTGAGTGCAAGACATGCACCAACCAAGTCAGCAATCCTGTTAATCTCCTCTTACTACGAGTATGGGTTGCTGAAGACCAACTCTAACCCAGATCTTGAAATGAATGAAAAGAGCTCTAAAAGAGTCCAAAATCTGTATGAGCTCTATCCCAGATGATGTTGCAAAACCTCTCAGATGCAGTGATCCACTCTCAACAAATATTATGGTATAAAACCTCTGATGCAGTGATCAACTCTCAAAAATCTTATGGTATAAAACTTTCCAGATTTACGGTGTTATGTGAGATGCATGTATCTAGATGCTGTACTCATGTTACAGAATCACAGAAATAGCTGCGCTTCTTTCTCTTAATTCTGTAATGATGCTGCACAGATTTTACCAAGGCATGTTTTCACTCAGTTTCACGTAGAATATTTCAACTCATTTGTAAAAATTATGGCTAGTTCCAGAGTTCTAGAAACAAACACACCATACCTTCCTCAGGTATCTTCAAAACAGACATAAAGACTGACTGACTGACTGAGTTAAGTTTTACGCCGCTTTTAGCAATATTCCAGCAATATCACGGCAGGGGAACACCAGAAATGGGCTTTACACATTGTGCCAATGTGGGGAATCGAACCCGGGTCTTCGGCGTGACGAGCCAACGCTTTAACCACTAGGCTACCCCACCGCCCCAGACATAAAGAATTGAGGGTGTGTTTGTTTATGGAATTCTGGAACTATCCATAATTTTTACAAGAGGTGAAATGCTGTTGTCTAAATATCTGATGAGTTCCATTTTACCATTTCTGTCAATGCAACATTTTAGAGTAGAAAAGTAGATGATATACATAAGAAAGAAATATTTACCAAGTTGAATAAAAAATGAGTTTAAAAGCCATTATGCTAATGACAGTGTAGGAACAGGCTGTATAGTTGTACTTTGTGGAGATGTTTCATTCGTTTCAATTCCTACTGGACATAGTTTGGCATACATGATTATTTTCATGTCAGTCTACGTTTGTCTCCATATTAGACTGTTGACACATGCATTGTATTTCAATTTTAGGTGGGAGGTATCAAATCCACTGTAATATATCTCTGTGTCCCAAACTCAGTAGTTTTATGTCAATTCTACCATGTTAAACCCTGTGGGCCACCAGAGGTTTGTAATCACAATTATGCAGCGCTGATTATTTTATGAAGACTGTGTTTGACCTTGCAAAATATAGTATTTGATACTGCACTCAAGGTTCAATGTAGCTCCATCAAATTGACAGTTAACATAGTTTTACTTTGAATATGGAGTGTATATGTTCATATATGTGGTTACCTGTGTATACCAGGGGTGGAAATAACTTTATAATTGCTAGTGTACTCCGGTACAGTGTCACATGTAAAATCACTTGCCCTGATAATTTTTCCGCTATACCATCAGTTTTCCTGTTGACTTTTTAAATAAACAACATGATTAACATTGGAAAGTCAACAAGACACCGGTACAGCATGATATACAAATTTGCTTGCCCGACAGAAAAAAACACTGGACTCGGACGTCGGGGAATGGTTTATTTCCACCCCTGGTATACCTGTATGTGCATGTTCATACCTGTGTTTACCTGTGTGTCTGTGTGTACATGTTCATACCTGTGTGTTACCTGTGTGTCCATGTGTCTACCTGTGTGTCCATCTACCTGTGTATCTGTGTGTACATGTTCATACCTGTGTTTACCTATGTGTCTTTGTTTACCTGTGTGTCCATGTGTCTACCTGTGTATCTGTGTGTACATGTTCATACCTGTGTTTACCTATGTGTCTGTGTTTACCTGTGTGTCCATGTGTCTACCTGTGTATCTGTGTGTACATGTTCATACTGTGTGTACCTATGTGTCTGTGTTTACCTGTGTGTCCATGTGTCTACCTGTGTATCTGTGTGTACATGTTCATACCTGTGTTTACCTGTGTGTCTGTGTTTACCTATGTGTCTGTGTTTACCTGTGTGTCTGTGTTTACCTGTGTATCTGTGTGTACATGTTCATATCTGTATGTACCTGTGTTTACCTATGTACCTGTGTTTACCTATGTGTCTGTGTTTACCTATGTGTCTGTGTTTACCTGTGTGTGTCTACCTGTGTATCTACCTGTGTATCTGTGTGTACATGTTCATATCTGTATGTACCTGTGTTTACCTGTGTGTCTGTTTACCTGTGTATCTGATTTCAGGTTACCTGTGTGTCTGTGTTTACCTGTGTGTCCACCGCGTCTACCTGTGTATCTGTGTGTACACGTTCATATCTGTATGTACCTCCTGTCTGTAGCATTCTTCTTCTTCTCTCCACACACCTTCTCTCCTTCCTCCGTGAGTATATATAGAGAATGAGTATACACCCATCTCATCTGGTCTCCTGATCTATGCCAGGGTGGTATTATCCCCAGGTAGTACTTTCGGGTAGAACAGCTGGTTCCCGTCATAACTTCATGTCATATGAGCATTATAGGAACTCAGTGTGTGAGTATGGGTGGAAACATTATATCGCTATAATGTCTCAGTTAGCAATATTCCAGCAATGAATCACGTGTTTGCAGGGGGACCCCAGAGATCTCAGCAAGTCGTTGACACTTCGTGCTTCACGCAGTTGTACCCATGTGGGGAATCTCAATCTATGCCAGGGTGGTTCTTCAGTGCGTGACTTGTCATAGAGCATTATACGCTGAGTGTGTGAACCTATACTAATCTTGACTGTGTGTTTGTACCCAGCAATCCAACCTGGTTTTTCAGCATTATAGGAACCTATATGGCTTGACTGTGACATATGACATGGGGACTGACTGACTGACTGACTGAGTTTATTTCTGCCCGCTTATAATATTCCAGCAATATCACGGCGGGGACACCAGAAATGGAATATTGTGCCCATGTGGGAATCGAACCGGGTCATAAAAACGCTTTAACCACCAGGCTACCCCACTTATAGGAACCCAGATGGCTACACTTCCACATGGGTACACTCAGATGGCTACCACTCACTCAGATGGCTACAATCTTTGCAGATTATGCAGTGAGTGAGTGAGTGAATATGGTTTTATGCCTCTTTTAGCAATATTCCAGCAATATCACGGTAGGGGATACCAGAAATGGGCTTCAGACATTGTACCCATGTGGGGAATTGAACCCCGGTCTTCAGCTTCACTAGTGAACACTTTAATCACTAGGCTACCCCACCGCCCTGCTTATTGTACAGACTCCTAGTTGTGGACTGTTCTGCTTTATGTATAACCACACCAGGCACTGTTGCCATGTCAACCTTAGAAGACCAGCTCTCTGGTGTGATCTGTCTGCTATTTGTATTGCCATACCCAGTATGGTGAAAATCTGTCTATGGTGGGAGAATATTTATTCATATATCATCTGGCAAGCTAAAGTTCTGATGGTGTAAAAGTGTCAGAGAAAGGTCTTCTTTGAAATCTAAGTTCTCACAAACCTATGGCCAAACAAGGTACTATTTGCTTCTGTTCACCCAGCAGAATATGGGTACCCAGTGGGATAAATCATGTGATTAATAACCTTCTAGCACCTCAAAGACAGCTTGGGTCATACGGTGTAATAATAATCAGCGCCATTGAGCATCGTATGTGGAAACTAGCTGCTGTACAATCCATCATCATTATTATTATTATTTGAAGGTACCAAACTACTGACCCGTGAAGATCCGGGGTAGAATAGGTCTTCAGCAACCCATGCTTGCCACAAAAGGCAACTATGCTTGTCGTAAGCTTTGTGTGCTGGCGAGTTGGTGAGTTGTTCCGAGAGAGTAACCCTTGAAGATCCGGGTCAGAATTGGTCTTCAGGAACCCATGCTTGTCGTAAGAGGCAACTAACGGGATCGGGCGCTCAGGCTCACTGACTTGGTTGACACATGTCATCGTATCCCAATTGCGTAGAACGATGCTCATGCTGTGGATCACTGGATTGTCTGGTCCAGACTCGATTATTTACAGACCGCCGCCATATAGCTTGAATATTGCTGAGTGCGGCGTAAAACTAAACTCACTCACTCACCAAACTACTACATGTATATTGATTGTGTTTTCAGAATCATCTTGGAGGCATCCTTCAGTCTTCATGACAGAACGTTTGCTGACAACATCGGATCTGTCCTCCTGTTTGCTGTCATTGTGAGTTCTTCATAGTTCACAGGAACATCCGATCATATTTTACATGACATTTTTTCATATACATTGCACAGGATATTCCCTGAACCATTTCAGCGCCATTTGTGTTACGCACTACTGTGCGACATCAAAAAGTCTGTTTGAGAACCTGTCTCCAGATACTTATTCTTGTCTCCCTGCTGAGATTTCAGATTAGAATTGTTCCTCAGCCACACACCTTATTGTATTCCAAGTAAAATTCCTGGGTTGAACTTGTCCTTAGCAACCTATTCTTGTCTCCCCCTGCTCATGATATCAGTCAACCGTGAAGGTCCGGGTTAGAATATTGGTATTCAGCAACCCATGCTTGTCGTAAGAGGCAACTAACGTGATCGTGTGGTCAGGCTCGCTGACTTGGTTGACACATGTCATCAGTTCCCAATTGCACAGATCGATGCTCATGCTGTTGATCACTGGATATATTGCTGAGCACGGCGTAAAAATAAACTCACTCACTCATGATATCAGTAACATGTTTATCTGGTCCTGATGCATATTTCACAGGTGGTCATAGTTCCAAAAGCTGGAATATTGCTGAGTGACAAAAACAAAAACTAACATGCATCAAGGTGGATGTCAATAATTTGAGTTTCCTTCTGTCTACCACAAGCAAGCATGTGACATCATATCATCTTTTTCCATTTCAGGGAACTATAATTGCATGCTTTGCTTTAGGTGAGTATCATAAAGTGTTTGGCATTTAGAAACAATACACACAACACATACACAGGGTGAAATATAGTGATGTCAACTTCTGGAATATGATCAGGGACAAACATTAACTTCTTTGAGTGGCATTTTAGAATCCGTTGGGAAGTTACGACAATATAGAATAATTAACTTTGTCGTAATGGATAACAACTTGTCCCTTTCTTTGCACTCCTCCCTTTTGTAACAAACAGTGAACTGTGTCAATATTTTAATGATAGTTTGTTAAACAACTTTATTATTTTTAGGAGATTCCGCTTTTGAGCCAAACGAACTACAGATTCAGGCATGCTTGACAACGGTACGAGAATCTGTATCGAAACGTCTCACTCACAATAAAAGAAGTTGTTACCCATAACGTTTGTTCTGTCGAGGGACAAGCAGTTTGGAGTTTATTCTTACTCCATCAAGTTGTTTGATTGACATTAGTTGAAATAATCAAAGATTGGTCGCAGTGACCAAACGACCAACACTCGCGGTGGGCGATGTGGCTAAAGCGCCAGGCTAGTGATCCAGCGAGCTTGAGGTGACGAGATCGAGCCCACCTGTGACCGGGTGTAAAAACCTTGGAGTCAGCTTTGTGTGCAGACTCTTTCAGTGTTGTCACAACCCCTAGTGTACAGTACACAACCCTGTGCTCTTAAAAGAACCCACAAACCCACAAATCTGTTGGTATATTACCAGATGGTGGCCACATGAATACGTACAAACACCAAGTTGCGGGTACAGCAACGTGCAGTGAACTTGGACAAAGTACTGTGACCATGTGTACGAGTCCACCCAGCTGTGAATGGGTACCTCATTTGGATGGGAAAGCCGTAAAACGCAGTACGCCCAGTGGCTGCAAGAGTTGTATGCTCCCTAGGGAGTTGAGATTGATAATACGATGTGCCGTTGAGATTGACATCCAACGATGGAGGGAAATACCATCACCTTGAGCATGTACTAGTTGCATGGATGTGTGCGCTATATAAACATCCTATAATAATAACATTTCTCATAATCGAACACAAATGATTTTTGAACAATTGTTTTAGTGTTTGAAACACTTAATGATGGAACATATCTTAGAAGTTGTCAGGGCCTGAAAACATGTTTAATTCTTAGAAAACACACTTAAAAATTCACTTTTTGAAAAGTCATGACTGATATTTCTTACATATAAGACTCCAGGAGCTCGAGGTTTATGTTCGTGATATATTAGTCATCACTTTAAAGTAGCAAGTTGCATCATGTTACACTGGATGTGAAATTTGCAAATGCAATTTGCGCATTTTGGGGAAAAAACAAAAAACAACAGAGATCCATGTTACACTTATCTGCAATAACAACCTGAATAGGAAAATATGAAAAATGACACCAACCAATTTTTTTCGATGATTGCTGGTTGGTAATGAACCAATCATCAGTTGTGAGATTTCAACCAATTCCCAACACTGATTGACGCTGGTGAGTAGATGACGAAACATACACTGTTATGGATGACAACTTCTTTTTAATTTTGGTGGAAGAATCTGCACCAAAACGTTGCACTGTGCAATAAAGACTGACTGACTGACTGAGTTTGGTTTTACGCTGCTTTTAGCAATATTCCAGCAACATCACGGCGGGGACACCAGAAATGGACTTCACACATTGTACCCATGTGGGGATTCGAACCCGGTCTTCGGCATGACGAGCCAACGCTTTAACCACTAGGCTACCCCACCGCCCCTGCAATAAAGAAGTTGCCATCCATAAAGCGCTTCATTATTCCGTCATTGGGTGACCTTGATGGTCGGTCTGATGAAGCAGTAAGAATATCCTCCAAATTGCTGTGTCCCTCATATTATAGAAGTCGACATCTATAAATTTCCACCCTTTTTGTAAGTATGATAGTTTGGCAGGGCTCCGGATAAAAAATATGCATGATACGGAAGGAAATAATTTAGAAAACGTAGCAGATACGCACCAAGACAATGGGAGAGAGAGAGAATCATTTACAGATGTATTTATCTGAAAAAAGTATTGTTTTATTGTTTATTGACCTGTTTACACAAGACTAGCAATGTTGTGGTGCATACATGAAACAAAACACAAGACTACTGATACTCCATTAAATTCCATTCAGTACTCTAAATGTACTCTTAAGTTTAGTACTCTAAATGTACTCTAATTTTTTCCCGTATTCCTGTATTGAAAATATCAGGAGTATGTACTCCTCATGTTGAAAAATTATCTGGAGCCCTGGTTTGGTATTAAACAATCTCTCCCCTCTTTAGTATAGCACAATGACATATTGGTATGCATGTTGTAATCTCCTAGACAACACCCAGGGGCGGTGGGGTAGCCTGGTGGGTAAACCGTTCTCTTGTCACACTGAAGAACCGGGTTCGATTCTCCACATTAGTACAATATGTGAAGCCTTTTCTGGTGTCCCCCGCCATGATATTGCTGGAATATTGCTAAAAGCTGCATAAAGCTAAACTCACTCACTCACTGTTTTCAGGTCATATGATATTTTCCTGTTAAGGCGTATATTTTTTATTACCTGTTTTTTATCTGCAGTGTATGAAATAAGGCCCGTCCGACCGCCCGAGATGGTCTAGATTTCTGACGGACGGTCTAAATTTACAGCTAGCGAGCCCGATGGTCTGGTAATTTTTTTAGATGTTCCATACGTCTGAGTAAATCCAACATATTTGGTCTGGTTAAATCCATTTGGGGCTGGTAATATTTTGAAGTTACCAGCCCTGATGTCTGGCTGGATTTTGGGCTTATTTCATACACTGTTATCTGCTCACTCTAAAAACAAACAAAAAATATCTGGAAACCTATCTTCATTGATGCTGAGCTGATTATTATTTTTAATTACACTTAATATGGTGTATGAAAACATATGTTGGTGAATCTGACCCATGGCTCAATGTAAGCTCACAAAATCATTTACGGTGTATTATATGAGGGAAGGCATGCAGAGACGAGCATTGTTTGACAAGACAGACCGTACAGTAACATAGAGGGAAGGCATGAAGAGACAAGCATTGTTTGACAAGACAGACCGTTTCCTGGGGTGCAGGAAAACCTTCTTCCTGGCTCTTGTAGAAACAAAGTGAACGCAAACGCTTCATTTTTTTTGTGTTTTTTCTCAAAAACAGTGATTATTGTCCTTGTCCAGTCAGCACATCCTGTGTTAATCAGGAAATTTAAACTTAACTTGTGATCAAAACAACATTTGATATTCTTGAGAGGCATTTAGAAGTTGGTGAATATATAAGACGAGTATATGGGCATTTAGAAGTTGGTGAATATATAAGACGAGTATATGGGCATTTAGAAGTTGGTGAATATATAAGACGAGTATATGGGCATTTAGAAGTTGGTGAATATATAATAGTATTGGTGATGGGCATTTAGAAGTTGGTGAATATATAAGACGAGTATATGGGCATTTAGAAGTTGGTGAATATATAAGACGAGTATATGGGCATTTAGAAGTTGGTGAAGGACAGTATATGGGCATTTAGAAGTTGGTGAATATATAAGACGAGTATATGGGCATTTAGAAGTTGGTGAATATATAAGACGAGTATATGGGCATTTAGAAGTTGGTGAATATATAAGACGAGTATATGGGCATTTAGAAGTTGGTGAATATATAAGACGAGTGAGTATATAGATGGCAACTGAGTATATAGATGGCAACTGCTTCTTTGTTGTATATCACGACATTTCTGGGCCACTTCTTGCCCCTTCTTCAGGTGATAAAGACAGATGTAGGAAGCATACTATATGTACCAGATTTACAGGAAGCCTGAGATGTACATGTATATACAATCAATCAAAGAGGACCGATCAAACAACAGTTACAAAAACAATGATAATTGGGATAAGGTGATGCCAGTTGACACAAACAATGAGTATAAGGAGATGTGAACACGCCAGAGTGATATACAGTAGTGGTGGTCTGATTAATTGAAAAAATCGAAAACTAAACGACCAAGCAATCGATCATGTTTTCTCATAATCGAACACAAACAATTCTGGAACACTTTTTGCATTAACAATAATTTTTCACACGGTTGGTTTTGTCTGTTACATTTCATGAACACGACATGCTCGTTCCAAGTCACAACTGAATTTATTTTAAAGACGACAAGAAATTTATGTTCCTAACATACTAGTCATCCTTTAAAGATGTGCGATTTGTAAAAATCACCCCAAGGAACTGCTTGTATTTTCTTTATTTTTTGTGCATTAACAAAAATAACCAGGAAAATTTCATAAATGACGCTAACCAATTATTTTCGATGATTGATCGGTTGTAATGAACCAATCATCAATTACGAGATTTTAACCAATTCCCAACACTAATATACAGTTAATTAAGTGACAATAGAGGCGCATGTGGTGTGGCTTTTTTGATGTTCCAGGCACTAGGGAGGTATATACCTTTATCTCTATTAATCTCTGGGGTTAATCTGATGTTGAGGGGTTCCTAGTATTTTGGGCTTATTTCATTACACTGTTATCTGCTCACTCTAAAAACACACACAAAAATATCTGGAAACCTATCTTCATTGATGCATTGATTATTATTTTTAATTTCACTTAATATGGTGTATGAAAACATATGTTGGTGAATCCAGTCATTGGAGTGGGTGGGGTTGTTAATTATATGCTCTGAAAGGGCAGTTTTGTGGTCGGCTTTTTAATGTTCTAGTTTTTGGGACTGGCTATGTTTATTCAGGACTGGTCACAATTTTGGACAGCCAGTTCTTGGGACAAACTATTTTATACACTGATTATCAACTGGAGTACTTTTGTAAATTATGCCTGGTTTTGTCACTAAGTGTAGCCAACATTCACACAGCAAGTTGAGAGATAGATTTGGTTTAGAATTCAACTAAGGAGATAAAAAATTAAGAGAGGATGTAACTTTCCACTTGACCTTGAGGAATTGGTACAAGCAGAACGTTAAGTAGGAT